CTATTATGTCTCGGATTCGCTCTTGCTCCTCTCCGATAGCTTTATATCCTGTCAGTATCTGTGTAGCCTCCGGTTCAGATGATTTCTTTTCCTTATGGGAATTATTGGCTGATGTTTTCACATCAGGTTTTGCCTTCGTTGATTGGTTCGTAATTTGTTTATCATCTGTAACACGCGCCTTTTGTTTATCTTTCTTCCGGGAGTTTTCGGGTATTACAGTTTGATCAACAGGGGTCATTACTACATCAGGCATTGATAGAAGCTTGATTGGTACTGGATTTGGTGGTTTTTGTAATCCTTTGCGTATAAGATCATCTTCATCAAGCGTTAGCAAAGATGACTCATCCATCAGATAATCATCAGTATTCTGAGATCCATCATCATCGTCATTATCATCATCACCCATATCGCCAAAATTGCAAAAGAATTGGGTTGAAAAATTATCCCAAGACTTGGACGCAGCATATAGCGCTATAGAAAATATTAGCGAAAGGGTGGTGGGTTGTATATTCGTAGCTTGAGCTTGTGTAGTGAAGTTCGCAGGGTTGGCAGAGTCGCCAAACCTTTCTATCAGTATCTGGGCTTTATCCTTAGGTACTGAGGGGTTTTTTTTCAAATAAGTCCTTGAGGAAACCGTCCTGTACAAAAGAACTTAAATTATGTGTAAAAGTTTCAAAATAAATGTCGTTAAACTTAGAAATGAAGTCTAAAGCTGCTTCGTTTGGTGTTCGGCTCTTATCCATAGACATTTTTATATTTTTATGTAATAAAATTTAATAAAGGGGATTATTTTTAATAAAATTATTACGTAGAAATTTTCGTAAAAAATGTATTCGGAAAAAAGTTTATTATCTCCAATTACCAGTTGATGTGGGAACTGACCCTCTTATGTGATGGCAAACGCATTATAACGAATTTCCAGTTTTATGTAATATTTTCTCCCTATTCAAGATACTAGCATTGTATCAGAGCAACAATTACTAAAACCCAAAATCATTTGTTACCAGAGACAGCAAGAGCATGTTTGTGTGTGAAAAGCTGGATGGATAAGAGTTTAATTGAATAATAATTAGTAACTTTTATATTGAATAATGCTTTAAAAAAAACATTATATTAATGAATGTATTCTTGAAAGGTATGATTTAGGTTTTAGTGAGAAAAAGGTTATAAAAAACTTTTTCCTTTTAATTGTTGAAGTACATTTACAATAATTTTATTAATACTGCAATAAACATTTTAATTTTAGCTTCATACATTTTTCTCCAAAAAAAAAATTTGTGTTTATTTAATATTCAATTATTATAAAGTGCACAAAAAAGACTAACCTTAAAAGGTTAAAATTAAGGTTTTGCATACACTAGAAACCAATTACAGCTGATTGCAAAATTGTACAACCACCCTAAACCTGTCTCTTATACACATCTAGATGTGTATAAGAGACAGCTATTATGTCTCGGATTCGCTCTTGCTCCTCTCCGATAGCTTTATATCCTGTCAGTATCTGTGTAGCCTCCGGTTCAGATGATTTCTTTTCCTTATGGGAATTATTGGCTGATGTTTTCACATCAGGTTTTGCCTTCGTTGATTGGTTCGTAATTTGTTTATCATCTGTAACACGCGCCTTTTGTTTATCTTTCTTCCGGGAGTTTTCGGGTATTACAGTTTGATCAACAGGGGTCATTACTACATCAGGCATTGATAGAAGCTTGATTGGTACTGGATTTGGTGGTTTTTGTAATCCTTTGCGTATAAGATCATCTTCATCAAGCGTTAGCAAAGATGACTCATCCATCAGATAATCATCAGTATTCTGAGATCCATCATCATCGTCATTATCATCATCACCCATATCGCCAAAATTGCAAAAGAATTGGGTTGAAAAATTATCCCAAGACTTGGACGCAGCATATAGCGCTATAGAAAATATTAGCGAAAGGGTGGTGGGTTGTATATTCGTAGCTTGAGCTTGTGTAGTGAAGTTCGCAGGGTTGGCAGAGTCGCCAAACCTTTCTATCAGTATCTGGGCTTTATCCTTAGGTACTGAGGGGTTTTTTTTCAAATAAGTCCTTGAGGAAACCGTCCTGTACAAAAGAACTTAAATTATGTGTAAAAGTTTCAAAATAAATGTCGTTAAACTTAGAAATGAAGTCTAAAGCTGCTTCGTTTGGTGTTCGGCTCTTATCCATAGACATTTTTATATTTTTATGTAATAAAATTTAATAAAGGGGATTATTTTTAATAAAATTATTACGTAGAAATTTTCGTAAAAAATGTATTCGGAAAAAAGTTTATTATCTCCAATTACCAGTTGATGTGGGAACTGACCCTCTTATGTGATGGCAAACGCATTATAACGAATTTCCAGTTTTATGTAATATTTTCTCCCTATTCAAGATACTAGCATTGTATCAGAGCAACAATTACTAAAACCCAAAATCATTTGTTACCAGAGACAGCAAGAGCATGTTTGTGTGTGAAAAGCTGGATGGATAAGAGTTTAATTGAATAATAATTAGTAACTTTTATATTGAATAATGCTTTAAAAAAAACATTATATTAATGAATGTATTCTTGAAAGGTATGATTTAGGTTTTAGTGAGAAAAAGGTTATAAAAAACTTTTTCCTTTTAATTGTTGAAGTACATTTACAATAATTTTATTAATACTGCAATAAACATTTTAATTTTAGCTTCATACATTTTTCTCCAAAAAAAAAATTTGTGTTTATTTAATATTCAATTATTATAAAGTGCACAAAAAAGACTAACCTTAAAAGGTTAAAATTAAGGTTTTGCATACACTAGAAACCAATTACAGCTGATTGCAAAATTGTACAACCACCCTATGATTTTCAATTTGAAAATTTGATATTTTGAATTTTTCAAGAATTAGTAAAAAAGCAAGTTTAAATACCTATTTTGGTAATAACTTTAACTCCTTAAAATTAATAAAGATTTTAAAGCAATTTATTTATA